TCCCAACTCACAGCAACCTCCAACTCCTGGGCTCAAGCGAGTCTCCTGCCTCAGCCTCCCAAGTAGCTGGGACCACAGGCGCCTGCCATAACGCCTGGTTATTTTTTTTTTGGTTGCAGCTAACGTTGTTTGGCAGGCCTGGGCTGGATTTGAACCCACCACCTTAGGTATATGTGGCTGGCGCCTTAGCCGCTTGAGCCATAGGCGCTGAGCCCCCAGCTGTTTTTTTGTTGCAATTTGGCTGGGGCTGGGTTTGAACCCGCCACCCTCAGTATATGGGGCAGGCACCCTACCCAGTGAGCCACAGGTGCCGCCTGATTGGAGATCTTTTTTTTTTTGAGACAGAGCCTCAGGCTGTCACTCTGGGTAGAGTGCAGTAGCATCACAGCTCATAGCAACCTCCAACTCCTGGGCTTAAGCGAGTCTTCTGCCTCTGCCTTCTGAGTAGCTGGGACCACAGGCACCTGCCACAATGCCCAGCTATTATTGGTTGCAGCAGTCATTGTTTGGCAGGCCCAGGCTGAATTTCAACCTGCCAGCTCAGGTGTACGTGGCTGGTGCCTTAGCCGCTTGAGCCACAGGCGCTAAGCCGATTTGAGATCTTTTTTTTTTTTTAAGAAAAATTTTATTTACTAATTTGACAAAGTTAAAATAATAGAACAAACTTAAGAGCAATAGATATTTAACAAAACAGGTATTTACTTCTAGAAGTTGCTCATGGAAAGGCAAATTTCATAATTTTTCTAGAAGAAAACTAGACCGTTTAATTCAAATGTTTCATGACCGTTTCATGACCGTTTCATGACCGTTTAATTCAAATGTTTTGAGAAACTTAAATGTGTTTTTAGCATGTAATTTACTTATTTTATTAACCCCCCCTTGACAGAGGCACAAAAAGTAATTTCAATAATTTTCCTTATGTTTTAGTAAATAACAGAAAATATGATTTGAGTGCATGAGATTTATGAACAAAACCACATTTTTGAGATCTTTTTAATGTAAGCTTTTACTGCTCTAAATTTCCCTCTTACTGTTGCTTTTTCTGTACCCTGTAAGTTCTGGTATGTTGTGTTTTCATCTTCATTTGTCTCTAGATATTTTTGAGATTTTTCCTTTGAACTCTAAATGTGTTTTTTTTTTTTTTTTGAGACGGAGCCTCAAGCTATCGCCCTGGGCAGAGTGCCATGGCATCACGCTCACAGC